AAACACTTTACCGGTACAGTATAAAAATGAGCTATAGATTGCCAACACCTGAAGGTTGATCAACATACTAGGGACTACGGCACGAACAGTACTTTTGCTTCCTGCATTGACCCTAACTGGATTCTGTAAAGCAGAAATTATCTTGCAAATGTAACAATAAGTAAATATAGTCCCCCAATGGAACAAAACAAAGCTAATTATAAGTTTGCCATTTCATCTAAGCTGAAACCAACAGAAACCTAGCGGAAACCTACATTACCCAGTATCCAATAGGTTTCCGCAATAGCGGAAACAAAGTCATTTCTCTTTGAATGTTTCAGCGAACTGAAACTAAATGGAAACGCATAATGATAGTTTCCAGTTGTAGAAACTGTGTAAACGAAGATGTTAGCAAATTAAACATCATGATTCACGTAAACTGTTTGTATGAAGAAATTAGATTTGTGAAATCTCTTCATTGCTGTAGATTCTCCCACAAGGGATATTTGGACTAGCGTAGGGAAATAAGGTCTATGTTTGTGATGCTAGACGATTGGATTCGGCTTGTTGAATTTAAACCTTTTTGGCTTGGTTATTATGTGGTCAAATATTTCAACGGAGACTTCACATTGACTGTCGCCGAAGAGCGTCGCTGTTGGCGCTTTTGGTTTACTAAATGATTGTTCAGACAATTAAGTTAACACATTTAACTTGGAGCATTTCACGTTCAGTGAGGGTCTTTTCCCTTCTTAACTTCGTATCGAGCATGGTGCTTCTACCATGAGAACCCAGAAGCCCAAGATAACGTAAGCTTTAATCCTTTTAATTATCCAATGTAAAATTTATAGGATGAAAAATAAACTTCATCAGTTAATACTTGATAGTTTAAAGAATTTTATAACTGAAAATGATTGCTAACAGAATACTTTATTCCGTCGAACGGAAGGTATACTCTGCAACAAAAGAAACGCTAAAGTGGTTTCCAGATGTATGCTTTATGCATGATATAAATAATTAACTGATCATTATAAATTGTTCACATTTGGAAAAGGTCATTGTCACTGACCGAGTTTCATTAAAGGTCACATGCAACCAAAAAATCAAACATAATTAAAACACAATTATCACTTTTTTCATGACATATAATATGCATTGCTGATTATGAAAAAACATATAAACAAAATTATAAGCGTATAATCGCAAATCAAAAGTGCAATATTTTGTACTTGGGTTTACCCCTCGAAACGAAGCAGCCGGATACCGAACCCAGTCAGAGCGGGTGGGTGTGCACTCAAGTGTAACGGCTGGTTCATTAGCAGATGCCGCCTTCAAGGCTCATTGTGTGTGTATATATAGAGATGTCGGGTTTTGTAAATACATGCTCATTTGTTGTGTATAACATTTTGCAATCAACAGACATCATAACATGTCATGTGTTCAAGTATCACACCTGCCTGTCTGTGTAATTACATAATGTGATAGAGACCGAACTCGGGCCATAAATCAATGCGTTTTGTCTATGGTGTATAGCCTGATTGGTGTTAAGTTCAAATTGCATGTGGTCAGTGATCGCAGTTGTGTATTGAATATTGTCATTAGCAGACAGGCAGGCAGACACACAGGTGTCAATAAAACAAGATATTGAGTTTTGTCTGTGACAACGACATATCTATATCACAGTTAGAAATTGTGTTAACGCTAAATAATGACATTGCTTTTAAGTATCGAACTGAGAAAGTGACTCGGTAAGAAGAACGTGTGGTGAAATAGACAAATGAAATTATATAAACAGTTTATTTACTGTCATAACATATAAAAAGCTCGCGCCTGTGAGATATCAACAAAACATTATGAAAATAGCTCACACCAAAGTCTTCACCGAGTATTCACCAGACAGCCCGCTTCCAAGTTGCGCGAACCTATTTCACTGCGCACGTGCTATGAGCGCAGCCCAGCTGTTGAAACCCGTATTCCCCAGAAAAGTCTGGGGAAAATTAGTGAAACGTTTGAACTCCGATTTCGCGCGGTTTTTTTCATCGCGTTATTTTTCAACTTTATAAGTTGAATTTGCATTTTTGACGCTTTGTTTCGGTAAGTCCATACCGAAAGGTATCAGAATCTGCAAAGTTGTGTTTTACGTTGCATGTGACCTTTAAGAAATTAAGACCCGTGAAGGTCCGGATTGGAATTGATCTTCAGTAACCCATGCTTGTGGTAATAGGCACGGGATCGGGTGGTCAGGCTCGATGACTTGGTTGACACATGTCATCGGTTCCCAATTGCGCAGATCGATGCTCATGCTGTTGATCACTTGATTGTCTGGTCCAGACCCGATTATTTACAGACCGCCGCCATATAGCTGGAATACTGCTGAGTGCGGCGTAAAACTCAACTCACTCACTCACTAATTAAGGCACACATGAAAGTATGTCAAGGTGAAGGTCATCTGCCCTCAATATTTGGTATGACCCCCATGAGAGTCCAGAAAGGCCTGGCATCGTCGCCCTATGGAACCAGTGAGATTACAAGTTATGACATGGGAAATGTTTCCGGACTCTTCCTTCAGTGCTTGTTCCAACGGTGGAAGTTCTGACGCGACGTTGATCAAGTGCATACCATGGAATTTCGATGGTGTTCAGATCCGGAGACTTTTGAAGCCATGGCTGTACTTGGGTGTTGTGGTTTATCAAAAGGGCCGTTGTCAGTCTTGCCGTGTGAGATCGGGCGTTCAAAGTGTTAATGGGAAGCGGAAGGCAATTTATGTTGCACGTTCATACCATGTTGGTGTGTTGGGGTTTTTGCGTTCCCCACTTTTTGTACATTTTGACCATATTTCATTCTTTAATCACAAATTAGAAATTCTTTTTGAATATTTATGTTATACTAACATCAGCAAATCCCGTCAGATATTTCCATTTTTTTTCTATTTTTGCGTTTTTATTTTATTTTTGCAGAGTATATGTTAATCTCATTGCGTGTCCAAAAGTGTGAATGTCCCAAAGCAGCATGGGATATATCTTGTTACACCCTAAAATCAGATTATGTTCCAAAACTTCCATTTCGTCTCGAAAACAGTGTTGAAAACAATTAGGTTATGTTCTTTTTTTTCTCCCAAAATATATATAAGTCTGGAACCACTTGGGTTTTGAAACTTAATTAACACTCCCGGATAAAAAGCCAGTTGAATCCCTTTCTGTCCAATCCGCTTCCAATTGATGCATTGAACATTGACACGATCAAAATTCTAAAAAACATTCTTGTCGGAAGAAATATGTGCCTTTGGGTTTAATTGCGTTTTCTTAATTGGTTTCACAAGTTGTATTACCTGTTCAAAATATAATTAGCTGGATTGGAAAGTTCAGATATACATATTTCATCAAAATATCTCCTCTTACAGAAAGTTCATGCATGAAGTTAAATTTCTAATTAAGGGAAAATATAGAAACTGAATTGGACCATTTCTGTGTTCCAATTTAAAACTATTAGGACTTGAAGCCCGAAATATATTGAACCTGTCAACGTGCAGATGTAATGATAAACGCAGTACCATTCTCATTAAAATCAAATGTTTTACTCTGGTGTGGTACCTCATTGAGTAAAGATCGGAGGACACGTATCAGAGGTCAAATGAGGAAACTTTGCAATAAGCAAGCCAGAGTCGACGTATGTAAGTTCTTGGTACTTGTGAACAGAACTTCCGACAACCTTATTTCATTTCAACATCTCGAAAACTGATATAATCGAGATGTTTCTATTTCACAACATAATAATAATAATGGTAATACTGATGTTTATTTCTATAGCGCTAAATTCCATAAACCAAGTGCATGCACAAAGCGCTTACAAATTGAAGATAGAGTTCCACAGTTCATTATTACCTCGGATAACCAAAGCTGCTTGTGAGGCGCTAGAAGGTTATAGTCACATGATTTATCCCACCGGGTACCCATTGTCTGCTTGATGAACTGAGATACTGTTGAACAGAGACGCTTGCCTAAGGTGAGACCGCATGTATCACTTCGTTGTGGGGCAAAAAACGGTTATGTTCATGTGGAATTTTTTCGCGTCATGTTTTTTTCTGAGCGCCGTGAGATGGACTGTTGGGCATGTCTATACTCTGGGCATACGTTTGCATAAATTTAAATTGCCAAATCGCTGAAGTAAATTTGGAACAACAACGCGTGAGCATAACCAGTCTCGATTATCCACTGAAACAGATGATAAAATGTATATTAATGGATCACTGAAAGTAGGGACGGTGAGGTAGCCTAGCGGATAAAGCGTTCGTTCGTCACGCCGAAGACCCGAGTTCGATTCCCCACATGGGTACAATGTGTGAAGCCTATTTCTGGTGTCCCGAGCGGTGATATTGCTGAAATATTGCTAAAATATATTCACTGAGAGTAAGCGAATATGGCTAGGATGACCTGCTATCAATGTTGCTCCCATCTACTGAATGTTGCCGACCACTTCAATAATAGGGCCATACGACAGAAGCAGTACTAGGGCCATACGACAGAAGCAGTACTTGGGTCATACGACAGAAGCAGTACATGGGTCATACGGAAGAAGCAGTACATGGGTCATACGACAGAAGCAGTACATGGGTCATACGATAGAAGCAGTACATGGGTCATACGACAGAAGCAACTCTTGGGTCATATGACAGAAGGAGTACATGGGTCCTACGACGGAAGCAATACTTGGGTCATACGACAGAAGCAGTACATATGGGTCATACAACCGAAGCAATTCTTGGGCCATACGACAGAAGCAATACTGTGGTCATACGGCAGAAGCAATACTTGGGTCATACGACAGAAGCAGTACATGGGTCATACGACAGAAACAATACCTGGGCCAGGACCATAAGGACATAGGCTGACATCTGACGTCCTACCCATCATTCCGATGCGATCAGCGTTCGCCATTCTGTGAAGTTGTCCTCCGATTCTGATGCAAAGATCATTAAATATTCTATTTTGATGAGATGATATTTGATTGGGTTTTTTCTGTTTCAGGTTAGACTGACCCCTGACCCCTGACCCCTGACTTCCAGGATCTGCCCGGCAGGCTGTGACCATGTCACGTGACAACCATCCCTCCAGACGTGTCTGAGCACTTTCAGACTATCTTCTCAAGACTCCACAGACTACATATTTTCGAATCTTCAACATATCTGTTCTTCACTGGGGTGGCAGACAAGAGTGACAGCCTAATATCAGCCAAGAGATATATTCATCCGATAACTAAACATGACGGACGGCATGCTGGTTACTTCGCGGAAGATGCTGGACTGTCTATACGCCTGCAGGAAGAAGATACTTCGGACTCGATAAGTCATTGTACAGCTGTAATGTTTAAGATTTTGTGCAATTCTGAAAAAGAAGCAAATACATAACTTTGTCGAAGAGTATGAGGCAGCGTGACGGATATTGAACTGTCACTGGAAGCCTACTGTCTACCAGAATATACCGTAATGACCTCCAAACTACCCTTGCACGTTACGTTTAATTCAATACTCAACTCTAACACCACTGCATTGGATGTATGGATTAAATTCTGTGATGATCATTTCAGACGCTGTTTACAATGTCAAAGTATATTTTTGTGATATGTACAAAGAATTATTAAGCTTAAATAGGTTGTGTCCATTCACATATTTTAGCTTCACCTAATAAGAAAATATTCCATGAATAACACTTAGATTTAAAAATGGGATACTTTATCTTCCTTTTACAAAAAATACGATAATGTTAATAGTCGCTATGTCGTACTCGTTTAATATATATCGAAATGTACAATCAAAATCCAGTTTTTTAATAACGAAAAATCTTTGATATTTGAAAAATTTTGTGATGTCCGACTAAGCAATATACAAACTAAGAACTGGATGTACAAGATGGTACTGAATGATAATTAGATGAAATGGACACAACCTGTTTACCGGAAGATACAAGAAGATTTACTCATTAAAAGTAAAATTCAAATATACAAAATCATGTTAGAATCAATTTTTTAAAGAAATTATTGAATAATTCAAACACAGTTGCAATAAAGTTTAAGTTAAGCAATCCCAGTATGTGTTCAAGGGTGTTTGTTTACACCAAACCACAACACCAAACCAACGGCATCACACAATAGTGAACATTACTGAATGACAAGACTGACTGACTGAGTATGGTTTTACGCCGCTTTTAGCAATATGCCAGCAACATCACGGCGTGGGACATCAGAAATGGGCTTCACACATTGTACCAATGTGGGGATTCGAACCCGGGTCTTCGGCGTGACGAGCCAACGCTTTAACCACTAGGCTACCCCACCGCCCCTGAATGACAAGAGATTATAAGTAGTAGGTATATGCAACTAAGAGCGAGTGAGTTTAGTTTTACGCCGCAATCAGTAATATTCAAGCTATATGGCGGCGGTCTGTAAATAATCGAGTCTGGACCAGACAACCCATTTATCAACAACATGAGCATCGATCTGCGCAACTGGGATATGAAAACATGTGTCAACCAAGTCAGCGAGCCTGACCACCAGATCCCGATAGTCGCCTCTTACGTCAATCATGGGTTATTGAAGATCAATATTCTAACCCGGACTTTCACGGGTCATATGCAACTAAGAAGATTTTGTAATGAGGCTAAGTTTGGATATCGTCATTCCATACTGTATGTCTCTATCCAACTGACACACATTGGGGGAATTTGACACCATTAGGTTTGAGTCCGACTCGATGGCCCGATGCAAAACATAATCAAATTACACCCAGGTGCGAGAGAGTGAGTTTAGCTTTACGCCGCTTTTAGCAATATTCCAGCAGCATCACGGCGGGGGACACCAGAAATGGACTTCATACATTGTACCCATGTGGGGAATCGAACCCGGGTCTTCGGCGTGACGAGCGAACACTAGGCTACCCCCACCGCACCAGGTGCGAGAGAAGAGTTATGGGAACTTACAAGAAATATAAAGATGGACCTGGATAAGGCAGCGTTATTGACAGAAGATACACTGGATAATCGAGGGTGAATGGCAAGAATAACTGCTGAAGCTTCCATGATATAGGTACCTACATCTGTTTGTTTGTTTGTTTGTTGTTTAACGTCACACTCAGCAATATTCCAGCTTTATGGCGGTAGTTGTAAAAACCGACTCTGGACCAGACATTCCAGTGATCAACAACATGAGCATCGATCTACGCATTTGGGATACGATGACCTGTGTCAACCAAGTCAGCAAGCCTGACCACCCGATCCCTTTAGTCGCCTCTTACGACAAGCATGGGTTACTGAAGATCAATATTCTAACCTGGATCGTCACGGATGGTGCCCACATTTAGCATGACGAATTTAGCTCCAGCTTATATGCTACGACTGGTGCAAGCCCATGTTATATGCATGCCCACTGGATCTCTTCTGCCTCGGAATCTCCATCAGCATTCCTGAGAGGAAGGACAGAGTGTTCCATCGGTAGTCACGGTATGTGCTGAGCTGGTTGAAGTCAGACCTACGGCATACGGTCTTTGATCAAGGTTACAACAATCAAGGCCTCAGCCATCTTTCAAAAGGATTATTGCTAACATGCTGATGACATTTCGAAAGTTGAAATATTTAATGCAGCATATTCATTTGTTAGGTTTCTCCAAAACATTTGTTCATGACGCACGTCATTCTGGTAACGAAATCTTACATTAGCAATCCACTGGCAGTGAGTTCACTGGCGGATCACATTAATTTATGAATGATCATATGCATTTGTACGATATCTCTTCTAAAGGCAGAATTCATTTTACGATCCATACCATATATTGTGCATGTCCATGTATAACTATCAAATAGTGATGTTGCCAGATGTTCCCGAAAAGTACTTGTTCATTAACATCTGTCACAAACACATGCAAGAAAAGCCACAAATCTCTTACCATATCCACATCCACAATTCTTTGCTGAACCCCACATGGGTACAATGTGTGAAGCCCATTTCTGATGTCCCCGCCGTGATACTGCTGGAATATTGCTAAAGGCAGCGTAGAACTAAACTCACTCACTCTCTGATGAAAGCACGGTTGTTTGTGATTACAAATTACTATCAGATATTAATAATACCAGGTGATCTGATTGTCGCACCCCTCAAAAACATATGTAAAAACAAGTAAAAAAATAAACCTGATATAATATAGAAACGTATGATACATACGGAAGAGAGTTCTACGGATGTCAACTTCTTTATTATGAGGAACACAGCGTTTCTAAGTATGTCCTTACTCCAGTTCTATGGATGTCAAGTTCTTTATTATGCGGAATACAACGTTTCTACGTATATCCTTACTCCTGATGAAGGAGTAAGGATATACCCACAATCATTGTGTATATCTTTAATCATGATGAAGAAGTAATGATATACTTAGAAACGTTGTGTTCCTCATAATATAGAAGTTGACATCCATAAAACTCTCTTCCGTATGGATATCACTTCTAATGCAATTCAAAGACCCGTATGGTACGACTCCAAATATGGAATTACATCGGACATTATGCCAGTCACTGATGAGTCAGAGTTTCTGAGTGTCCTGGGTCCCGATCCACAAAGCGTTCGTAGCGCTACGATATTCGTAAGTCTACGGTAAACTGTTCAGTTACGACAGGTCGTAACGTTACGAATGCTTTGTGGATCGGGACCTCTCAGGCCTTCAATGTTGTAGCCACGATCGAACAACATCTGAGGAGTCGAATGACGTTCTTTGAAATCTTAAAAAAGACTTACCTTTTTGTGAAATGTAAACACCAAAGTCTGGAGCGGCTAGCTCGACATGAAGGGAAAGTTCTCTTTTGGACAGTTGAAGGTATGATCCTCTTCTCATAAGGCATTTGGAGAGTTTTTTGTCACTCTGAATCTCATGGATGCAAAGATCTAAATATACCACACAGGAAGCGATGTCACCTGTGTTCTGTTACAAGTTCAGGTAAGTAAATCATTGAAAGGAAATTGGCTCTTTGTGTTATTGTCATTTCCTGAAACGGAAGTTATACTTTTTTCCACAATACCTTGTTCTGATTATGCCAACAGAAATTCTGACTCATATGCATAAGGACGCAGATTCGCAAAGGAGGAGAGCTTCTGGTGCTCATCGGGGTGCCTATTTCTCACCCCCAAATTATGATGTTATCATTGAAGTATCATTTCCCAGTTCAATAAAAGGGACTCTCTGATCATTTTATGATGTGATGTAATCTGAAGTAATATGCTGAGCATATTTTACGAACTAGTGTCTTTGATTACGTGGCCGCTACGTATCTGCTCAATACACACTTGCAGGACGGACATGGGTGTCATGTGATCTAATGAGTCAGTGAGTGGCTATGGTTTTACGCCGCTTTTAGCAATATTCCAGCAATATCACGGCGGGGGACACCAGAAATTGGCTTCACACATTGTACCCATGTGGGGAATCGAACCTTGCTCTTCGCGTGACTAGCGGACGCTTTAACCACTATGCTACCCCACCGCCCCGTGATCTGATGACATCAAGAGGAACGTAGGTCGCTGTTCCGCGAGACCGCACCTGTCATTAATTTGTTTAAATGTAATTGGTTTTAGAAAACAGTACTTCAGATATGTAGACGCACAGTGATATGCAATAAAGGGCAAATACAGTACCATAAAAACGTACTAGGGGCGTTCATTAAAGATTTCCCCTGACCCACTTCTGGTTTTCACATGTTGCTGAAACTTCATGTGAGTAATGACACATATGTCTATGGGTCACGAGGAAATTTCCAGCATTGAACTATGAAAGCTATTTCTTTGACAAGCGTTATATTGAAGTAAGGTGTGACAATGGAGCCAGTTGAGTACCGAGCAGTGATCAAGTTTTTGTACTTGAAAGGTCGGACACCCAAAGAGACCTTTGATGAAATGAAAGCAGCTTCTGGGGAGGATGCCCCATCGTATGACGTAGTTAAACACTGGCATCGCCAGTATAAATGTGGTCGGAAATCTGTGGAAACGGCTCCCATTCCTGGTCGACCTCATTCAGCCATTGATGAAGACACTGTCCGTCAAGTGGAGACTGCCACTGCACATGCATAAGGTGTCTGCACGATGGATTCCCGGGTTGCTCACATCTTTTCAGAAGCAGGAACGAGTCAGTTGCTCAAAGGCTCTTTTGGACATGTGCCAAGAAAGGCAAGCTTTTTCGACAGACTTATCACATACCATGCACCATCTGACTTCCATCTCTTTCCAACTATGAAGTCATTTTTGAAGGGAATGATGATGAAACATCAAGCCAATTCTTTATAGTTGCATAAAACGAGGGGAGAAGTGTGTAACTCTTGGTGGTTGCTATGTAGAGAAGGACTAATAACTGTGCCATGTTTCGTTCCACTAAGTCCACTGCAAGTGGGTCAGGGGAAATCTTTAATGAACGCCCCTCGTATGTTACACGTAGACCTGACTGAACTGATTACTAATTGTCGAGGGGCGGTGGGGTATCCTAGTGGTCAAAGCTTTCGCTCGTCATGCCCAAGACCCGGGTTCGATTCCCCACATGTGTGAAGCCTGAAGCCCATTTCTGGTGTTACCCGACGTGATATTGCAGGAATATTGCTAAAAGCTGCGTAAAACAAAACTCACTCACTCACTCATTATTTAATAAATGATATATATTTGTTTGCATTTGAAGACAATGGAAGGTTAACGGGGAGTTGAGATTTGGGAGAAACCGAAAGTAAAATGTAAGGAAATGGTCTCCATCTTCTATATAGTTCAGCAAGCTCTGAAGTCTCTTCTGGTTGGTATCGTGGTAATACCCGGAAACCTCTTCAGGTTGGTATCGTGGTAATATCCGGAAACCTCTCCAGGTTGGTATCGTGGTAATACCCGGAAACCTCTCTGGTTGGTATCGTGGTAATATCCGGAAACCTCTTCTGGTTGGTATCTGGTAGGTTGGTATCGTGGTAATACCCGGAAACCTCTTCTGGGTGGTATCGTAATATCCGGGTAATACCCGGAAACCTCTTCTGGTTGGTATCGTGGTAATACCCGGAAACCTCTTCTGGTTGGTATCGT